TTGACCTTTGACTTTAAAAACAATTACACTTTTTTTTTTTTCACATAATGGCCAAAATATTTCTTTCGTTTAGTTTTGTTCTACTTTGTAACTGTAATCAAGATTCAAGGGACCGCAGACACTATAACGGTGTTTTGATGTTATAAAACAGTTTTGGTATTTGTTGGTCTGCCGGTAACTACACGTGCGGACAGTTATTGATTAACGAAGTTTCCAGCATCTGTCATCTGATTGGGTGTGACCAACATGTGCTGATACACTTTTTATGGTAAGTATTCTATTTATTTATCAAGTAATGTAGTGATAATTGAGTTAGTAAAAATTAATAGATGAAAGCACATTTGGAAACGGACAAAAATTTTATACAGCTCCCTGTCGTTACTTGAGTATTTTTTGTTCGAGAAAAAAAAAAAAAAGAAACTAAAAAACATTATTCAGAGTAATTTTTGGTGTATTATTGGCATTTACAGATTTTGCGTACGGTAAAAATTGACAGATATGGATGTAAAATTATCAGCGTTGCTTAAACAACGGATAAGGATCGTTTTGCAGCGATTTTCCGGTGAAAAACTCTGTGGTGCTGAAGCATACTTGAGACAAGTTGAGCCCTTTCTTCAGAACGGACCACAGTAATCTTTATTACAGTTGCTTTTTCCCTGCATGCTTAACTTGGGCTTTTTTATGGGCTTGTAGGTTAGCTCTTAAAAAAAGTAATTTTTATTAAATGATAAGAGGCAATTAATGGAGTCAATAACAGATTTGTTTTATAAGCTGAATGAGCTTCTGTTTACTCGCCTTGGCATTTTTAAACTGCAAGAGCACTGCTTGCAGTACCTTTGCAATCCAAATTAAAAAAATATAAAAGGAGTCTTAGTCGTTGCTGCTACGAGGAAAACATTTTCTAAACGGTTTTCGGTTATTTAAAATTATGAGATAACGGTCTGCATAGCGGTTTTTTAGCTTTGATCGTGAATTTTTCTGAAAACTGTTGCGAAAGGTACATGTTTTTTTTTTTTTTTTTTGGTGTTTAGCTTTTAATTCTTTTTGGCTCAGCCGCTCACTGACCGCCTAGAATTTGGTGAATTTAATATGTGACTGATCTTCAAAAGCAATTTCTGAACTACTCAGTTGTACTTCATAACAAAAACTTCTATTTGGTCTATTCGCTTCACTTTTTTACCTTATTGAAATCTTTTACTGGTTGATATAATCTCTTTCAGGTGTGGATTGGTATCTCTTCAAATGGCATCAAGTGCTCTCCACTTACCGAGCAAAAGTATCGATGACATCTTACGTGTAGCCAAAAGCAGAGGTTATACAAATCACGGAGAATTGTTCTCTGGTAAAACTCACTGTTAAAAAACTCTAATCTATACTTTTCTTGGTTTTTTTTTTGCCAAAAAAGACTGATCATTCTTTTTTCCCCTGTTTGCATTTTACCAAATATTTTCTCTTTGTTTGAGAGACTTTATTTTAAGCCGTTAAAAAAGTTTATTAATTTATATTTATTTTTCCCTTTTTTTTGCAGATGGCACTCGTAAATCATTAGTTCACACGAGGAAGAAATAATATTTTTAAAGTTTTTTAGCTTCTTGGCTGTCAGAGTTGGCTCATGAGTTGTGGCCTACAGTTTCCTGCGTCGCTGCAAAATTTCCGTCCAAGGATAAGCTTGTAAAGTTACTTGTACAAGGCTCATTAATTTTGATTCCTTATGATTGCGACAGGAATCATGAACCAACTTGTCGTCATGGACATAGTGCTCATTGGTGCATTATAGTAAGTCGTACAAATGTAATTTTTTAAATATGAGTTTCAAGTAAAACAGGAAATCTTCAGTTCGGTTTTCTTTGCTCTTATTTAGGTCTTCTACTTAATTCACTCTGATTTTTCATTCGTACAAGGATGATAATGAAAGTATCGTACTGTATCCACTCATCTAAAAAGTAAAAAGAAATGGTGGATAGAATTTTTGTATGATTAAGAGTTGAGTGCGCAAGCATGGGGGATTTGATGTCACCTCGTTTTTGTTATTAGGAATAAACCTACCGGATTAGAATATAGGTGAACAAGTTTTTGTGAAAATATTTCTCAGATTGATACAATGACTGTCTTTTGGTCAGTTCTTACATTGTTGGTTTAAGCTCTCTTTCCTTTAATGCGAAGTTTATGGAGGGTTTGACAGTTTTTGAGTAAGTTTGTACGGAAAAAAATTTAGGCTTCTTACTTGTTGCTTTCTTTAGTTTAATGAATTGGTTTTGTAATAGTCATGCCGTTATCTGACAGTTTAGATTAAGGTTGACAGTCCGTAAAATAAGCAAAGAAAGTAGGTGAAGGCAATTAGATGAAAATCCCAGCATGTCATTTTGAGGAAGGTTTGTTTACCGACTAGTGTAATAGAATTTAAGTTCC